GATGGGGCAGCCACAACTTCTCTGGGCAACCTGTTCCAGCGCCTCACCACCCTCAGAGGGAAAAATTTCTTCCTTAGATCCAATCTAAATCTCCCCTCTTCCAGTTTAAAGCCATTGCCCCTTGTGCTGTCACTACACGCCCTTGTAAAAAGTCCCTCTCCAGCTTTCCTGTAGGCCCTTTAGTACTGGAAGGCTGCTATAAGATCACCCCAGAGCCTTCTCAGATGGTTCTTTTTTCTTCTAAAATAAGTTACCACGATTGCAACTTCATGCCCGAGGCTGGACCACTAAGTGTCTTGAGAAATCTAAGACATGGTGTTCTAGTTGCAAACGGAACTTTCTAGAATTTAGCTAACTGATCTGGGCTGAGGTTTGCCGTTATTGGGTTTTGTTAAATTGGCTGCTGGTGTTGTGGGGAACAAAATAAAAAAGGCTCGATTAGTTGGTGGTCTGTTGTACATGATGGTCTCCGATTCACGCTCGTCGTAAAGTCAAAAGTACGTAGATGTGGAAGACTCGTTGGTGGGACTTGGAACCAGAGTTTTACAGCAGTTAAATAATCCCACTATTATTGGTTTTTTTACTGTTGTTATGGGACTTGGAACCGGAGTTTTACAGCAGTTAAATTATCCCACTATTATTGGTTTTTTTACTGTTGTTGTTCCTCAATCCTTTTTCTGCAGCTGCAGGGAAATCCACGTTTGTGAATATTCTCAAACAAGCCGGTGAGGAATGGGAAGTTGTTCCGGAGCCTGTAGCCAGATGGTGCAATGTTCAGCAAAGCTCTGAAGACGATTGCGAGGTATGGTGTGAAAGAAACTAAGGTGAAACTTCTAAAATAAAAAAAAACCCCACACCTAAACCCACTCACATGTTCTTGTAATTTCAGAAGACCGATACATCTGATAGAGTAGGTGTTTTAGAAAATATACGTGATAGCAGAAGTTATTTTTAGCAACTGTGGACTGACCAGGTGAGAGTGGAGGGTCATGCTGTGGCCCTGGAAGGTGTCCTCCAACATGTCGAGGGAGTCAGGAACTACTGCTGAATGGTTTGTGGTGTTTTTTTCCATCAGGTCTTTGTAATTCTGTTGGCAATCCAGCAGCTACCTAGTGGCCAAAACCATGGTTGCGTAGACAGCTTTTGGTGGAACTGTAGAAGATGCTTCTTTATTCAATCTGGAAAAAAGTACAGTGCATTCTGGTTAACGAAATGTAAAATTTTAATGGAGGTGTCTTGTTTGTAACTTTTCCTCAGATGTTTTTTTTTTTCCCCAGAGTTAGATAGCTATTTTTTTATTTTTCTTTCTTCATCATACTACAGTAAATCCAAATACAAAATCAGACTGAAGTCCTTCGTTTTAAGAACTAAGCTAACAAGCTAGTTTAATAGACGTGAGCTCCAAGTTCAAGTTTTATACTTTTTAATTTATTTATTTGTTTAGTGTGGTGGGTTGGCCCTAGCCAGCAGCTAAGGACCCCCACAAACAGCAGCTCCCCCTCCTCAGCAGGGTGGAGAAGAGAACAGGAAGAAAGGAGGCAAGATGATTTATGGGTTGATCTAAAGACAGTTTGATAAGAAAGGAGCGATGCAAAGGCAGTTGTTTCCCTCCTAGAAGCAAACCAATGCCCAGCCAGTCTCTGAGCAGCAGCTGCTCTGGAAGACAAACTTCTCCCCTCCTCCTTCTTCCAGTACCTGAGTTGAATTGCTGACCATGAGGTTCCGTGGTGAGGAATATCCCTTCTATCCCTTCGGGCAGTTGGGGTCAGGTGCATTTGCTGTGTCCCTCCCAGCTTCTTGCCCACTCCAGTCCGCTTGCTGGGGGGCAGAGTGGGAAAGGAACAATGCGTTTGTCTTTCATAAAGCTGGTACTCTCATTGTCCCACGGTACCAGGAAATTAAGAAAAAAATAACAACCATTAGGAAATTAATTTGGGTGTGTGTGTTCATAGCAAGAGGTGTGTCACTGCTTTTGTAGTTGTTAGTTCTTATGAAATTTGCACCTGAAATACTTCAGCTGGCTTAGCACTTTCGGTTTTTAATATGATGTTGAAGGATATTAGAATCTTTTCCAGAGGATATTTTATATCTTTTATTTCTTATTGGTGAAGCTGATAAATAAGGGTCTTCTGACTCGTGGAAGGTCACTGTAGCTGTGTCACTATAGAAGGACAAGGAACTGCTTGAGAGGGTCCAGCGCAGGGCTACGAAGATGATGAAGGGAGTGGAGCATCTCCCTTATGAGGAAAGGCTGAGGGAGCTGGGTCTCTTTTGCTTGGAGAAGAGGAGACTGAGAGGGGACCTCATTAATGTTTATAAATATGGAAAGGGTGACTGCCATGAGGATGGAGCCAGGCTCTTCTCAGTGGCATCCAATGATAGGACAAGGGGGAATGGATATAAGCTGGAACAGAGGAGGTTCCGCTTAAACATGAGGAAGAACTTGTTCCCGGTGAGGGTACCAGAACACTGGAACAGGCTGCCCAGAGAGGTTGTGGAGTCTCCTTCTCTGGAGATGTTCCAAACCTGCCTGGACGTGTTCTTGTGTGATCTGATCTAGGTGGTCCTGCTCCGGCAGGGGGATTGGACTAGATGATCCTTTGAGGTCCCTTCCAATCCCTAACGTTCTGTGATTCTGTGTGTCTTCTCACTTGATTATGGAATAGAGAGACACATCCTTCATAACGGAACCAGGCCATGTCCCCCATCCCTAGTGGATTTCTGTCTGCCTGCTAGGCCTCTTCCAAGCAGTTCGTGGGAATGGTTTGGGCAGCAGGATGGCCTGAGGACTCTGCTTAAAGTACATTGCATGTAGCTTCCTGCTTTTGGGGGGCTTAGGAAGTATGGTGCTGTGGATATCGCTCCTGTGCTGCTTGGCCACGGTGTCAGAGTACGGTGCTGGGCGTGTTTGGCTGACTAGAGTAGGTATGGTTACAGGGAATTAGGGATGAGGATGAAACCTGGAGTTCCAGAGTCTTAATTGGGATCACCTAGGTGTTGACATCTATCTCCAGAGTTTTGGAAACACGTCAGTATTGGGATTTGGTGTTAATGTAGCAAAAAGATTCCGAGGTAGGCTGTGTTTTCTGGTAAAACTGCAGCACGCAGCGTTCCGTTTCCGTGAGCTTTAGTGGCTGTCTTGAGGTGCTCCATCTCCCTCGTGGGCTGAGGGAGATCTTTGGCCTGGAGTCTGTTCTGAGCCTCACAGGTAAGAGGAGAGCATAATTATCATATCTTGAGATGTTTCTGTAGGAACTGTAATGAATAGATGGAAAACCAAAAGGAGCCCAACTTGAAACTCACACTTGTCAGATTAAAAGGAGCATGGATTTCTCTGCAGTGTTGTTGACTTTTTGCACTGATAAGATGTTTTTCTTGTATCAAGGCTTGTAAATAGTGACCACGGTGTGTTGGCACTTGAGCATTTTGACGTTTCAGATGGCAGAGTTGCTTATTCAGCTCAGTGCCCTAGGAGGAACAACATTACTGGCGTTTAAGCCTTATGTTGCAAGTAGAGTTGAGAGGTAAATGGTGCAACTGTAAACCACAAATAAAGGCTGAACAGCTTGAACGTAGTAGAGCAATTCTCTTTGACCTGAGTTGGCCACCTTCTCCACTTAAAAGGTCACTGTATTTGTTGAAAACCAGGAGCTGACTACATCACAGAAGAGTGGTGGAAACGTGCTTCGGATGATGTATGAGAAACCGGAGAGGTGGTCTTTCACTTTCCAGACGTATGCATGTCTCAGCAGGATCCGGGCTCAGCTCAGATCCCTCGACGGCAAACTCCGAGAGGCAGAGAATCCCGTGGTCTTCTTCGAGCGATCTGTTTACAGTGACAGGTACGTGGGACTGAAGCCCTTAAAGTGAAAATCAAAATTCACCTAAGTGAAATGGATAAAAACAGACCATGACTGAGTTTTGCACCTGCTTTTGTCATAATTTTCGTACTGGTGAGTCACAATAACCTCAAAAAGTGTTTTGTTACCTTTTTCTTGTTGGTGTCGATGGTGTAGTGAAATTACTGGTTAGAGAGCTTATAGATTTGTCGTGTAATCATAGAATCATAGAACGGTTAGGGTTGGAAGAGACCTCAAAGGTCATCCAGTTCCAACCCCCCTGCCATGGGCAGGGACACCCTCCACTACACCAGGTTGCTCAAAGCCTCATCCAACCTGGACTGGAACACTTCCAGGGATGGGGCAGCCACAGCTTCTCTGGGCAACCAGTTCCAGTGTTTCACCACCTTCAGAATGAAACATTTTTTTCTTATATCTAATCTCAATTTACCCTCTTTCAGTTTAAAGCCATTGCCCCTTGTCCTGTCACTACATGCCCTTGTAAAAAGTCCCTCTCCAGCTTTCCTGTAGGCCCCCCTTAAGTACTGGAAGGCTGCTATAAGATCACCCCGGAGCCTTCTCTTCTCCAGGCTGAACAGCCCCAACTCTCTCAGCCTGTCTCCATAGCAGAGGTGCTCCAGCCCTCGGATCATCTTCGTGACCTCCTCTGGACCTGCTCCAGCATCTCCATGTTCTTCTTGTGTTGGAGACTCCAGAGCTGAATGCAGCTCTAAAAACATCAATTAACTGTGATTTGTGCATGCACATTTCCCTTGAAAGAGAAGGAAGAGGCATCAAGCAGAGTCAAGAGCGATTTCTCTCCTTTTCGCTTAGTCTTGTTTTCTTTTACGCTTCTTGAAACAGGTCTCGCTGTCCCATGTTGCAGTACCTTCCCTGTCTTTCTGGATTTGGAAGGTTAGCTTTGGTAACTTGCTCCCATCACATCATCCATAGGTGTTCACTGTCTTCTGATATATTGGACACAAATGACCACAGTGTGCCAAATGGTGGTGTTTTGTAGATTATTCCTGAGCAGCTACCTGAGCTGCAAATGTTCCTGCTTTTCGTGGACGCTGCTATGGGCGACTGCTGTGGACATAGTTACACGATGAGGATACCAGCTGTTGGTTTCCAGGCCAAGCATATATCCAAGAAGTTAGGGAATTCCTGTGCCCAGCTTCTTTTCTAGTTACTGTGCAGCACTTGAGGCAAAGGAAGTGATAACTGTGTTCAAGCTAATTTTTATTTACCTCTCTATTTTGTGTTCACAGATACATCTTTGCAGCTAATTTATACGAGTCCGATTGCATGAATGAAACCGAGTGGGCTATTTATCAGGACTGGCACGACTGGATGAACAAGCAGTTTGGTCAAAGCCTGGCTCTGGATGGCATCATTTATCTCAGAGCCACTCCTGAGGTGAGAAATAAAAATTTAGGACTGCACAGAGACTGAGAGCACATGGTCTAGGCCTGGCCTGTAAAATTTTATCTTTGTCTATGCCTCCGTAGTACTTTCTTTTCCTAAAGAAAAGTAGGGTTTAACTATGATTCTAGACTTTTTTTATGATAAAAGAATAATATGCTTGCAGTCAACTCCAGTGAGGTCACAGCTGTGTGGCATTGCATGTCACTGTATCTGTGTTTTAGGGGTTGCTTTGAACATCTCAGGCAAGGACACAGCTGAGAAACTCTCCTTGAGATGTAATATTGTCAAAATCTTGAACTACCCTTATCTTTCACTATGAAAGTCCTAATAAGCAGAGTTCAGACTGGAGTATTCCCTTGAGGACAATAATACTCCAATTATGACTAATACAGTGTGGAAATACTTAAAAAAAAAAAAAGCACAATCTTGCAAAGGTGGCCTGTGTATCTTTAAATAAAATGTGATGCTGATGATTTTCTAACTACCAAACCAGAATATGTGGCAAAAGCAAACCAGAAAATGCCACTGAAACTAAAAAAAAAAGGCAAGTACAAGATAGCTCTATGAATATCGTTGTGCTGGATGGAAAAATTCACAGTTCATGTCATGGCTGATTCTTGAGGGGTGTGTGTGAAGCCCTTGGATGTGGAGCAATGGAGCTAAACCAGATGGATGCACCTGCTGTATGTGAGGCTTCAGTTTTTGGGCATCTAGTATTTTGTAAAAGGAGAAAACAATGTGATGAACGTATCTTTTGAGTGTGAAACTTATATGAACAAGAGAAAAACATGAGAGTTTAGGAGTAGTGAATTGCAGTAATGAACTTACCAGTCACTTCCCTACTTCCCTACTTGCAACTTTTATGCTTTCAGCTTTGTTGTTGTGAACAACTGTGTGATGTAATAGGATAGAGTTTATCCAGGGGCTTTTTTTCTCTTTAAGTCACGAACATGTGTTCAAATGACAAAGCACAAGAGTTGTAAACAGTTTGGATCGACTTGTTATTGAGGCTTTGGATGTGTTCAGGACAGGAACAAATGATTTATTACACTTGAAAACTGGGTTCTCAAGAGCCAGAAATATATAATGAGATTTTGAAACACTTATCTATAATGTCAAATGGGTATTTCTGTGCTCTTTTGATTCAATATGCTGGTAACCCTTTATTTTAATAAAGAGCTTATTTGAGACTTTTCCTTCTAGCGGAGAAATAACATGATATGTTTCCTTGGGTCCTTCTTGATTTTGTGTGTAGCTCCTGGGCTCCATCAGCTGAACGTGACATAATGTTTCTATCCTCCTGAGATAGTTAGCAAGTCGAATATTCATCTTGGACAAAGAGTGGTGTAGTGAGCACAGTAGGAACAGTTGGCAAAAAAAAGTTTGTAGTCAGCAAACTAGACTTCCTCTGTAGGTCTTGAGAAACAACCAGGTTTTATTTTTATTTTTTTTAATATCTTTTTCCTTTAGAAATGCTTAAATAGGATTTACTTGCGTGGGAGAGATGAAGAGCAAGAAATTCCCATTGAGTATCTGGAGAAACTTCACTACAAACACGAAAGTTGGCTTCAGCATAGGACACTGCGGTAGGGTTTGTTGAATGCTTCAAGATGGATAAATCTTTGTAAGGGTGTTCCATAACGCTTTTTCCACCAGTGAAACTTTACCCTTTCTTATGATATGTAAAGTTAAATTCCAGGAGTGCTTCCATCTGTACTTCCTTGGTAGTATTGGCTTTACAGCATGTTAATTTTTGCTAGGACCTGCAACATCCCTGGAGTTCTCTTCACCTAGAGCTCTGAATAGCAGAGGATTCAACTGAACTGATTTTAACGTACAGTTGAATTTAACGTTACGCGCTGGGGGAACATGGTGTTCAGGAATCAGTAATATATCCCAGGAGCCACGCTGTAAATTCCAGCTGCTTTAGATTCAGGATTCATGGCTGTAATTTATACATGCAGTTCTTTTCATGGGATTCTTAACAGTGCAAATGCTGACAGGGACTTGAATGATGTTTATTTTTTTCAGCTGGTAACATTTTCTTTGTTCCTGTTCCAATACAGAACGGATTTTGAATATCTGCAGGAAATACCGATTTTAACGTTAGACGTTAATGAGGACTTCAAAGGCAAAAAGGACAGATATGATCACATGACTGAAAAGGTAAAATGTCACAAGCAGAACAAAGTGATGATTTAGGTTGATTGCCAGTATGTCAAAATCAATTCAGGATACTTCTTGCATTTCGAGGTACGGCATTCTTTGAAGTCACACTAGACTTAGAACCTGTGTTTCTTCGTGCTATTTCAATTAATTTTCCATTAAAACAAAAAAAAAAAAAGAGGAAGGAAATATTCCAAGCTTGTTTGAGAAGACTTTCAGTAGTAGCTTTGTTTGCAAATGTAATTTCTAATTTATATAACCCTCAGCTGTTTAAAAGAACTGTTATTTGCTATGTGCTGCTCCTAACGTTGCGCAGGTGTCCTAAGAAACGTCACAGGGGTGGGAGAGGATGAGGGAAGCGGTTGAGGGAGAGAGAAAGAAGGCTGCACAGGTCCGAGTTGGGTGTCTGGGGTCAAGTCTTCCTGGTAATAGGTGTGAAAGTGTCTAACCTACAGTGCTAGTTATTACAAGCATTTTGGTTCCAGGTACTGGGAAAATACAGTACATAGAATCACAGAACGGTTTGGGGTTGGAAGGGACCTCAAAGATCA